GGGGGGGGGGGGGGGCACCCGAGGCGCGGTCATCTGGGCTGGGGCGGCGCGACCGGCCGCGAGCCTTGAGCCGGCGGGCAGTGGGAAGAGGAAGGACAGGACCACAAGAGAAGGATCTTCGGGGATATTGTGGCAATAATAATGGTTGAAATAATCGTGCTACTGCGCAGGGAGAACGACTGAACGTGGCAGGCCCTCGCGCCGGCAGGCTGGGTGTGGGGTCTCCTGCGGTGTTTTGAGGGATGACCATTGCGGTCCCGTCCGGCAGCAGGGCTGCGGGGGGGGGGGGGGGATGCGTTGAGGCGTGGTCGTTTCCCTGGCGCGGGAGCCACCAGCCTCCCCTCGCACCTCTCTCGGGTTCGGATATCGCCTGGGGGGCCGGGGCATGGGCATTTGCCGCGTGTCCGCCGGGCGAAATCCCCCCACCCGGCGACTGGTTCCTGCCCGGGGGCGCGGGGGAGGGGATGCTTGTGCCGGAGATGGACCTTCGGACGTTTTTTTTTTGGGGGCCTCGGAGCGGGCGCCCCGCAGGCCCCCGAGCGTGTGCCGAACCCCCCCCTCCACCCCGGCACCCGCTTCCGGAGGTGTGCCGGCTCGCCGGGCCGCCTGGTCAGCCGCTGGCGACTTGGGTACCCCTTTTTGCGTGGACGCTTGGCGGGGGGGGGGGGGGGGGGGGCGGGGGCGTGCAGGCCGTGCGTTGTGAGATGGCGCTCGGGACGTGCTGGGTATCGGTGTTGGTGCGGGTGATCGGGCGGCCTGTGCTCTGTGGTGCTCGGGCGCCGGGACACCCGCAGGGTCGGGCATGCATTGTGTCTTCGTGTGTATGTGTACATGTGTGTCTGTGTGCGTGTTGCGCGTGGGTAGGACGATGTTGTGCTCGCCCTCCTGTGGAGCAGCGATGCAGTTTGTTGGGGGCAGGCAGCGCCGGGTGGAGGAGGGGGGGCGGGGACCGCGGAGGGCTCGCCCGCCCCCCGCCCTCCATGGCCCCCGGCCACAGGTATCCGGGGCCGCGGGGGGAACCTCAACGTGTGCGGCGGGTGTTCGTGGTATAGGTTGTGCCGTGGTGACGAGCGATGGGCAGCCGGACGCACTGGACCCGGTCCAGAGTACACAAGATCTTGCCTCTTGCGAATGTGCAGCATGGAAGAAGAGGCGTATGTGCCGGGGTCTTATTGCTGGGCCCGTGGCCGGGGGTGCGGCAAGGGGGCCGAGTGGGCGCGGGCGCGACCTGGCGTGTCAGAGGGGGCGTGGACTGCCGCCGCCAGCAGGCGGGCTCGGTGATCTCAGCACCGGCCGCCGAGACGGATCCGGGGCCGGTTGGCAGGAAGGGCGTCCCTCGCCCGCGCGCCCGCCCCGCCCCCCCGGGCCAGGCTGGGCCGAGCCACGCCGGGCGGGGCGAGCACGCAGGCTCGCGTGCTGCTCCTGTCCTTTGGGGCGCAGGGCTCCAAACTCTCGGCTCGCGGGCCGGGGGAGGGGGGAGGGGGGGGGGGGGCGAGGACGCTGCTGGCAGGCCGGCGAGAAAGGCGGCCGCGCGGTGGCCGATGCTGGGCTTCGTCCATGCGTGTGTGTGTGCGCGTGCGGGCGCGCGCGCGGCCCCCGGTCATTCACTCTCCTACGCCGGCCTTCCCCCCCCCTCCCCTCTGGGGGGGGGGGGCGGAGGAGAGGGCCATGTTTGGGGCAGAGCACCCCCAGACCCGGCGGCCGGCATGCAGCAGCGCGCCCCATGGCGGTGCTCGGGGATCTTGCCCCCTCGGGGGGGGGGGGGGGGGCTGCCGCGTTCAAGCAGGGACACATGCCCGCATGCGTGAATGTGCTGCGACTTCGCTGGTGGCCCTGCGCGCCGGCCCAAGTGGCGTTATCAATCTCGCTGCCCGATGTCCCTCCGGCTGGGCGTGTTCGCTCGTCCCCCATTTCCATAGCGCTGAGGTTCACCATTTAGGGTTCCATGCGCCCGCGCGTTTCCACCCCGCCCTGTCTCCGTGCATCACATCTTGCCCAAAGTATATGTCCATGCGCTTGTGGCTGTGCAAGCGTGTCCGCCCCGGCCCGCCCCGGCCCCCCCTGTGTGCCTTTGGTCGCGTTTCCACCCGCAGTGCCCGGGTGTCGTACATGCACAGCGGGGCGGAGGGCGCGCGGGGTGCCGGCGCGCCGACTCGTCGCCATCCCTGTTGAGGCCCGGAGACACTTCTGCCCCCGGGCGCGGCCGTTTCAGCCGCCGCGGCCGCCGCCGCCGCCGCCGCGGGGGTGACATGGCGGCGAGACCCGCGCGTCCGCTGGCGGCATGGCCCCCCGCCTCTGCCTCTCCCGGGAGGATGTGTGTGTGTGTGTGTGTGTGGGCGTGTTCAAACGCAGATGGTCCTCGCGCGGAGGCTGCCCCCCCCCCCCACCACCCGGTCCAGCCCCCAACGAGCCGATTGCTAGCCGAAAGAGTTTGCCCTGAGAGAGCTCACCAGGGCTCCCCTCCCGCGGGCGGCTGTCGAGGCGGAGACACGCCGATGGAGACGGCGACGCGGACGCGGACACAGACCGGACAAGGCGGCTCGTCCAGGCAATTGGGCTCCAAAGGTGGAGCCGGTCCGGGGAAACGCGGCAGAGCGGTGGGGGGGCAAGAGGGGGGCAACGGCGCCTGCGCGCCCTTTCCACCCGGGCATGTTTGCTGACCGGGTCCGCGCGCGCGGCACCCCCCCCCCCCCCCCCCCCAGCCCCGGCCCCGGCCCCAGCCCCAACCGGGGAACCCCCACAAAGAGCGCACGCGCGTGTGTCCTCTTCTCCACCACCCCGGGGCCACCACTCAAGGGCCAGCCCTGCCCGGCCGCCGAGAGTTCATCTTCGGCAGAAAGAGACCTTCGGCACACGGAGACGGTCCCCCTCCTCCTGTCCACATCCCCCTTTTGCCCCTCCCCCTTCGCCTCGTCGGCCCCGCCACACCCCCCTCGCTCGCCTCGTTCTCCTCGTCGGATCACCCTCGCCCGTTCGTGAGCCAGCCCTCGTGTCCCCTCCTCCGCACACCTCCGCCGTCAGAAGCCCCCTCGCCCCCCTCGCCCTCTCTCTCCCTCTCTTTTCTGTCATGGTCTTCTCCGCACTGATGCCGCTGCCGCTGTCGCCATCTTGTCCCCTCTCCCGCCTCCCCATCTACTAACTCGCCCCACCGTCTCCACGTGTGTGCACACACACATGTGTATATCCCCCCCCCCTCTCCCCCTCTCCCCCTCTCCCCCTCTCTTTCCCCTCTCACGCACAAACACACAGGCGACCAGAGCGCCCCCTCTTCCTCCCCTCTCCCGCTCTTCCTCCCCCCCTCCCCGCACCGCCTCCCCCCGCGGTTGCCTCTCGCCCAGGGTCTCCTCCTCCAGCCCGTGGGGGGAACTCGTCTTTCCCCACACACGCCACTCGCTGTCCGTGCGTCCGCGTGCCAGCCAAGCAACCATGTCTCGCCCGCAGGCCGACACGGCCGCCCGGCTGACGGAGTATGTCCAGCAGCATGGCGGCACCAAGGCCATCCACCGGATTCTGGTGGCCAACAATGGTATCGCCGCCGTCAAGGGGATCCGCTCGATCCGCCGCTGGGCGTACGAGCAGTTCTCCGACGAGCGGGCCATCCACTTCACGGTGATGGCCACGCCCGAGGACCTGGCCGCCAATGCCGAGTACATCCGCATGGCCGACAGCTATATCCCGGCCCCGGGCGGGGCCAACCACAACAACTACGCCAACGTCGACCTGATTGTGGAGATCGCCGAGCGCACCCACGCCGATGGTGTGTGGGCCGGCTGGGGCCACGCCTCGGAGAACCCCCGGCTGCCGGACGAGCTGGCCAAGCGCGGGATCGCCTTCCTCGGCCCGCCCGGGTCGGCCATGCGCGCCCTCGGTGACAAGATCTCCTCCACCATTGTGGCCCAGTCGGCCGACGTGCCATGCATCGCCTGGTCCGGTGACGGCCTGACCATCCCCACGCCCGAGGTGCGCGGTGCCCGTCCCCGCTTCCGCGCGCGCGCCCCCCCCCCCCCCCCCCCCGCCTTCAGGGCCTGCTGCTCGGCCGCCCGGAGCCCTCTGCGCCATGCCTCCCGAGCGGCGGGGCCCTGCCTGCTCCCGTGAATGTGCCCACTAACACGCTTTGCATGCGCGAATCCCCCGGGGACACCACACATCGTAGGGCAACCATGCCGTCTCGGTGCCCGATGACATCTACAACAAGGCCTGTGTTACCGTGGCCGAGGACGGCCTGGCCGTGGCCCGGCGCATTGGCTACCCGGTCATGATCAAGGCCTCCGAGGGCGGTGGCGGCAAGGGCATCCGCATGGTCCACAGCGACTCCGACTTCGCCAGCGCCTTCGCCCAGGTCCAGGGTATGTCATGGCTCTCTTAGTCCCCTCCTTCCCGATCGCCCCCCCCTTT